CTTATATAAATTTAACGAATAGAAATCATGGATGACCTAAACTAGGACAAATTCAATCTGATTTCATGTTCGTCAAATACAACTAATATTATTGTTTATTTTTTATATAGTGCACATAAAAACCTGCACATAGGAAAAATACGTCCCTCATCTATTGTTAAATTTCATCTCTTGATATCAGATTAAGGGTGTCTTAGTTGCATCATTCTGTGATCATTTGTTTCTTGATTACTTCTCTTTTCTTTTAGGAGAATGAAATAAGCTTAAAACACACAAGACATCACCAAGACATTAGGAGGTTGAGAAAAACAATTGAGCAATATTGAGCAATGGGATAAACAGAGAAGATCTTATATTAGTCTGCACCTGATCTCCGTTATGCCTTGGTTAATTTGAAGGAGAATAAAAGAGCTTAACGTGTGATGAATCTGAGACCTTTTTTTGTAGCCTTTTATTTAAGAGTAAACTAACAGGAATTTGCAACAGGCCAGGACTTGAACCTGCCTCCATGTAAAAGGCTGACATTTTAATTGTTGCAACCCTACAGATATAACTGACATTCAAAGTGATTGTATCAAATTGAAACACATTTAAAATTGGAACAATCAGTCTAAATTTTCTCTTAGCTGAGGTCAGGAAAAGAGAAAGATGTGGAAAAAGTGTACAGAAAAAAAAAAAATCCAATGTGTGAGATTATTTTCCTCAACAGATACATTTTAGAAGAATAAGAAAAATACTTTGTTCTTGATTGATGCTCATTGATATCTAGGGGATGTGAATGTGACATAAATGACAATTTTGCTTGGAAATGGGGGGATTCTGCTGTATTCATTAAAATGTAAGCAAAAGTAATCTAAGTAAAATCTGAAAAATATGACAGGTATCAGTACAGACCCGTGAAGCATGGACTGATAATCAGAATGTTGCATTCAGGTAAGCTAAAGGTACTGGATTAGATGACTCTATTTCTAACATATTTATTTCAAACATATATTCTGTTTCCTAAAAATGACAAAGCAACGTATCACAATCTGGAAAAAATAAACAAAAGGAGTAAAACAGTGTCTCTCTTTCAGTGTGTGCCCGTTCCAGGCCGAGGCTTTCGACTGGGTCAGTACTGCTGCCGCTGTAAGGAGGGATACTACAACCCAGAAATCCCACCTGAGAATCCTGGTAGGTGAAGCAGCAAACCCACAGGCAAAGACACGAACAACAACCATGAACCCCACTAATAGTACTGATGCCCCTGCGTTGGTTCTTTTGTGTGTGAATGACAAATATTAATTCCCTGGGCAGAATGACAAACACTAAGGCCACGCGCATGCCCGACATCACTCTAGAAAACATGACTGCCAACATTAGTCAAGAAAACAAAAATCCTAGAGGTATTAAAATCAGTAAAAAGCCACCACCTGTGAAAAGAAGACAGAATTAGAAAACGGGGAAATGACCACACCTCACAAAGTACTTTGGTTTAGAACTAAGGTTTAAATTGGGTTTAGTTTTGTCTTAGGCTAAGGTATGCACTGGTAACTGTTTAGTTTAGGGCTGTTGCTAGGGTTAATGCATAGAAAGGGTTAAGAAAGGGCTAAAAACCAATGGAAGTCAACACATGCTCCTCACTACAGAGGAGAATTTGATGGAGTGGTGATTTGTCTTGAGTTTCCCTGCCATTAGACCAGACTGTACTGTTCCCCTATAGCCTGTATGGGATTGGTACCAACTCCATTCAGCGACCCTGATGGACAGTGATAGAAGATGGATGGATAGATGGATTAGGAATTCAGAAATATTTTTTTGAGTCAAATTTTTATTGCATTAATCATTAAATGACAAAATTGGATAATATTTTTTACACTACTTAATATCACAAAAAGACTGAAACTATCAAACTCAGATTGAATTGTGATTTTGACAGAAAATGTGATCTTTTAATCTGTTAATTTACATCCTCAGAGACTCAGTAGAGAGATTCTCCAGCACAGGAAATATCATTTTACCTTTTAAGTTTGCAGGCAGGTTCCCTCCTCACCTAAAGTTCTAGCATCTGTATACAGAGACTTAAGCAGAAAACAGCTTTGATTGCTGCAGGCATCCCAAGGATTTAGAATGAGGATTCCTGTATCTGCGTCCATATTAGTACTTCCTTCAAGCTCCCCTTTTTGTTGTCATTTTTTTCATCATCTTTTAATCCAAAGTCTATAATGCACTGTGTAGCAGTTGTTCTTACACTCACCTGCTGCCATTGTTGAGGACGCTCTGCACTGGTAGCTGCACCTTTCTGCAGCACATACCTTAAAGGAGCCTAAGTAGTCTCTTTCTGGAAATCAAAACATCCAGAAGCATTCTTTAATGTCACCAAAAGTTATTTTGAATTTCTGTTCTTGCTAAAACAATTCCCTGTTCATTGAACCAGGGATGATTGTTGCATTTCTCTTTGTTGTAACCATAGGCAATCACAGATGAATGATTATTCAAAGCAAGTTAGGCTAAAATAATGTTTTTGTTTTCAAATCTGAAAAGATACACACATAGAGAAAATTGTTGGTACCGCTTATTTAATGAAGGGAAAAACCCCTCAGTGGTCACAGAAATAACCAGAATCTGACCAAAGTAATAACGGATAACTGCTGCAGTTGTCTCAGGTCTGAGGGGGACCTTTTCATGACAGCGGGTTTCAGCTCCTTCCAAAGATGTTCATTGTACTCTGCAGAGATTCAGACACCCTGTGCCAGATGAAGCAAAGCAGCCCCAGAGCATCACAGAGCCACCTCCATGTCTCATCATAGGGACAGTGGTATTTTCTAGATATGTTTAGTTTTTCCATCTCTGAATGTAGAGCGGATGTGTCTTTGCAAAAAGTTTAATTTATACCTTCTTTGTTTTTAGGAGACAAAAATGAAAGCTTTGTGTCTCCCATGAAGTCCACTTTGGCTCAAATAATGATAATAATAATGGTGGGATCTTTATCTGACGGTCCTTGAGCTTAAAGTTCATCTTTGATGTCTTTAGAAGGTTTTCAAGTTCTTTTTTTACCATCGGTATTTTAACCTCTTTCATTTGTCATCAAATTTTATCCTGTGGCCACGTCCAGGGAAGCTGGCTACAGTCCTAGTGATTTTAATTTCTGAAAATGTGAAGCTGTAGTCACATAAACACCAAGAGATGTTTTAAAACCTTTAACTTTAACATGCTTGTCTATTATTATCTTTCTAATGCCATTTTTTCATTTACCAAGAATTGTATTTATTATTACTTTTGTCAGATTTGAGTGATTCCTGTGACCATTTTTTTTGTTGCTGTCAGGATTGGTGGGTACTTTTTGAGGATATAGATGCAGAGATGAAGAGACAGAGATGATTTATTGCTAAATTTAATGAAGTAAAAATACAGAAGCCATAATCCTGAACTAATCGACAAGAAACTCAGGAACCAAAACTAAGAGACGCTGGGGAGGAATATACCCACGTAATTAAGAAATTAAGTAATGTAGAGAATCCAGCAAACAGTAGCTGCAGAGGAGGAGGATGTATGCTAAACAGAAAAAAAGAATAGAGTAATCAACTGACTGGGAGCAGGTGTGGAAAGAAGGAACTAGAAGGGAGCTAGGGGAAAGAAGACTGGCACAAGGGGGCAGCAGAGAGTAAACAAGAAATACATAAGAACTCAAATACAACCAGAAAAAAACTAGAATAAAACAAAATGGAAATGAAACCAACGACCAAGAAAACATAGAATGACATAAATCAAAGTGTAACTGAAAACTCAAAAACAAAACTTAAAGAGAACCAAAAAGTCCAGAAAGGGCAGAATTGTGGCATTTGTTTTAGTTTTTCATTAAAAGGGGTTCCAGAAATTTTGTTGGTGTATATGTTCATTTATTGCTGTTATTTCATTCCATTTTAAAATAAAGCCTTAACCTTGACACAAACTGATTAAATGTAATTTTGTTTGCCCTCTGGACAAACTGATTGTCAATAAAAGGTTATTTATTTCAAGGCTTTTCATTCATAATGTTACTAAGGCTTCTAGTGAATGTTCCCTTCACTGTGTGAGCTTCAGCTTTACCTTGGGAAGAATTACATCCATTTTACATCACTTTAGTTGTTTTTTTTTGTAAGCAATAACATTTTATTAAAGAGTAGACAGATTTCAAATATCTGTGGTTAAAGATGATCTAAAGCAAAGGCTGGTTATTGTTTTAATAAACTGAAAGCCCTCAATATGCTTATATAAGGCTTTAAGCAACATGATGGAAAGAATGTGTCTGTATGGCACCCTATGACTGATTTCTGATCATGTAAGGGACATGAAGCAGACATGTGATTTCTTTCACTCTGAGGTTTGCAGATGCCACTGCAGTCTGAGGCTGTCACATGGCTCAGTAGGTGGTGTACATTCATGTATCTGTGTTTTACAGATGGAGGACCAAAGAATGGCAGCGAAAGCAGCGCTACATGTTACCCGAACATGCCCATCTGTCTCCCATGCTGGCCAGGCTGTAAGCGCTGCCAGGACAGCACCCCCTGCTGGGTGCAAGAGGACAGGCTCCTCAGGGCCGCAGTGCTGGCCCTCCAGGGGGTCTTCATGTTCCTCGTCTTTGTCAGCATGCTGGTGTCCTATCAGCATCGTCAAAACCGGGTGAGTTAGATGATTCAGGATGAGTGAGAGTGCTGACCTTTTCCACCACTAAGCCACATGATGCAGGGCTAGACCTGTATCAGTAGACCTTCAAAATCATCTTCCTCACTAAGTTCCCAAGGATTTCATCCAAACTAAACAAACTATGTAAAAGCAACAGACTTCTTTGTGCTGATTTTATAAGCTTGTTTTAAGTACTATAACTTTAAAATAAAAATGATGGGATGCTTATGCAGTAACAGTGTGGTTACTAGACCATTGCTCAGAACAGGGGTTCCCAAACTTTTCAGCCTCTGGCCCTAAAAATGGATCCAGCATCAGTGGTATAAGCATTCAAACGTTTCCTCAAAATAAACTATCCATGTGATAAATTACAGCTTCAATAACAATAGTTGTTTTTGTGATGTTTTTTATATCTTTAAGAATATACATCATAAATGTTTATTGTTTAGTTTAAATTTCTATAGCAAATATCAAGACCCAAGACCCAAGTGGGGTCACGACCCTAAATTTGGGAATCAGTGGCTCAGAGCATTCATTGACAAAACACAAAATGTGGTCTTAAATTAGAGAGATTAGATTAGTTAATTATATTACAATGAAACATCTAAAAAAAAGTATTGCAAGTTTGTTATTCCTCATCCTTGTTTTTTCTTCTTCTTCTTGGGTTTCTTCCTCTGCCTCTGTACCGTCAGAGGATCCGGGCCTCGAGTCTCCTGCTGCTGGAAACCATTCTGTTCGGCTCTCTGCTCCTCTACTTCCCTGTGAGTCTCCAATGAGCAGAAACTGATTATTTCTTTATCTTTTTTCAGCTTCAGTCATGGATCATTTATCAGAGTTAAGATCCATTTGGTAATATCTCCCATGCTCTTTGTTCTCTGCATGGGCTGATGGGGGATTGTCCCTGCAGACTGTGACAGTGTGTGCAGGAAGTGATTTAATGTGTCAACATGTTAATGGGTTGTCCCCTCTGCACCTCTTTCTAAAAATAACAAGTGATCAGCACTTAATGGTTAGGCTGCAGGGGAGGTGCAACCAGAAAAGCTACTGGATCGCAGTGGTGTTGTTTTTATGAGATAAACATAAATTGTTAAGCTGACTACTGTGAACATGTCTGAATGAGGTGAAATTATATTGTTTTCACTTTGATTTGTGTTCTGAATCATTTCAGTAATTTGTACCAAAAATATTGGGTCACCACTTCAAATTATGAAACTCTGATGCTCAAACCCCTCCATGGCCACAGGTGTATAAAACCATAATACCAAGTGGAAATGCAGAGCGTGAAAGAATGGATGGCCCTCAAAAGCTCAGGGATTTCTACTATGGTCCAGTGACAGGATGCAGTCTGTGCACCAAGTCTATTTATGGAATGAGACAGCTAGTGACTCTACGGTTAACTGTCTGTGATATCGTGACAAAGAGCAAATTAAGTGGGAGGCTGTGGAACATCAAAGAGCTGTTTAAGGTTCATGGTGCGTAGATGACCCATGAGGTCAGCAGGGTCAGTCACTTGGTTTTCAGATTATCTAAAGAATGATCTATGGTGAACTTAATAGCATACGTTTCTATGGATACCTCCATGTAATCTCAGAATATCGACAAAGAAATGATGGAGGCAATGAGATGAAGCTGTAGACCAGGCTTCCTCACCTTTTAGACTGTCTTTGCTTTAAATAATCTGTTTATTATCAGAACTCTGGAGAACTTTAATGTATGCCATGGAGGTAAATTAGCGCTTTTATTCAGGTGTGGAAGCAGGAAGGATTAGGGTTAGTGCAGGAAATCAGAACCTCCAGGGCTGGAATTGAGTAACACTGTTCTAGACTCTAGAAAAGTGATGGAGACATTTTCTCTGGAGTTCAAAACTGTCAGAAAAGTCTGGGGTTTGGCGGTTACAAAGAGAACAATACTTGAGTGATGTTTGGTGATTATAGTACAGAGTTGTTTTTCAGGGATTTTGCCTAAATTTAGCATCTGGTGTTACTGACCTAACCATACTATCCTGTAACGTCCACCTCTCTACATGTTCTATTGGTTATTCATTGCAGTGATCAGTTTAGAAGGGGAACGTGTATATCTTTTCTACCACTACCATTATACTATCTTATTTTGAGGGATTAATATATAATCCCACCCATCAGTCACTCAGAGAGCAAGTCTCTTGAGACAGAGACTCATGGCTAAACCTTGGACGAGATAATCCCTGTTTTCCAGCGGTGAACTGTGGCTTCAGATTGAGAGCAGCCGACACTCATCCTGGCTGCTTCATGCCTCTTTTTAATTGAATACCACAAACAGAACTAGAAACTTTGTTCTTTTTAACTCACACTGGAGGAACATTTGACTTACTGCCTTTGTGATACAGTGACTCTTAGTCTAGTTGCACCCTTCACAACATTGCTTTAGGGACGCAGCCCTACATCTTCTCCAGATAGATTTCACACATGCGGACTGCACACCAACAGCAGACAGATGTGGAAGCAAAAGCTACAGCTCTAATACCTGGAGTAAAACATTCCCATTGAGCCTCAGAAGAGTCATTAACCTAAAGAGGTGGAATAAACCCCCACAATCATCACTCAATAGATATTATTGTTCTCTGTGGAGAATGAGAGAAATGTTTTAGTCCCTAATGTTCCAGAGAGTCAAAAACCTCTACCATGTCAGGAAGAATGTACATGAAAAAGAAATACCACCCAGGAAGAGGGGAGCGTCCGTCACGTCTCTGTGATCCTTTGCCTGCATCCAGAGACTCTATGGTGTTTCCATCCACCAGTACTGCATGTTTACAGCCCTAGTATTTGGTATCTCCCCATTTTCCATTAGTACATTTGGCTTTAGATTAGAGAAGTACCATAATTACTGAACACACAAGCCAAGCTTTGGCAATATTTCATTTTTCACAGTTGTATGGCCTAACCCAGACCCTAACCATTACCAAAACATACCTAACCCTAACCTGAACTTAGTTCACACCTTAGACCTAACCTCACACCTAAGAAGAGAACTTTCTCTAATGGGGGCCTGTTGGGTGAACCACACATACCTATAAGTTTCCACAATGGATCATTTTAATAGAAAAAAGCTAATTGTAAATGTAATGTCAAGATTACATTTACATGAAAATTATAGGAGAACATGCCATTTATCATGTTTACTCTTCATATGTGTTGTCATATTCAAAAATGTAAACTTCACTCCCTTCAACCAGTGGACTATGTCGGGGTTGCTTGGATCAGCTGTCTGTGGCCGTGCTTTTGTTACCTAGTCGGTTACATTTCCTAGGAATATGCAACATTTTCGGTGCTTATAGGTACTTGTGGGGACCCATACCCATGAGGTGGGGGTTAGGCTTAGGACTAAGGTATGAAAAGAGTTTAGGTTAGGTTTAAGGTTTGGCATGTATTGGTAATGGCTAGGGTTAGCCTATAGAAATGAATGGAAGTCAATAGAAAGTCCCTACAAGGATGGTGTAAAATGTGTGTGTGGTGAGTGGGGTATGTTTTTTGGACGCTGAGCTTGTTTTTTGGCAATAGGGAAGCATTTTAACAGTCTAGCTTGATAATATTTTTTAGATGTTCGGGAAGGAAATCTGCTATTTGGGTTTGCTTTGTCAACTCCAGACATAGCACAACCTAATAACATAAAATGTGGAAAAAAGTATTTTACATTGTTGAAAACATTTATCAACTTGTTTTTCTATTATCTTGGCATCCTTAAGCAAGTTAAATCTTGTGCCGACATGACGTGCTGCAAAACGTGCACTTAATCTATTAAGTTCTTTGATTTTTTAAAACTTAAGAGTAAAGTCCGGTCAGCAAGAAATAACCAATGAATCATTATTTATACCTAGAACTAATGTTTGCAGTGATTTAATGAATTAAACGTTAATCAATTAAAAAATTAAAATAATAATTTTCGTCGTGATCACTGAGTCTGGGAGCGGCCATTTTTTCACAAATACAGTAACCCCTCCCTCCTGCCATCTTCCAGCAGTGACGTCACGGTGCGGTTAGCCTAGCGCCATTCT